TTTGCCATCATGACCTATAAAGCAGCCTTGAATAGTACCCCACAGATCTTCAAGATAGATGGGAAGCACACAAACAACCCCTCTGACCAACGTGGCAGTGATAGTGTTCTTTCCTTTGGTGGCAGCAGCAATAGTGATTCACTTTCTCATCTACTTCTCACCCATCGGTTGAATGGAAGTAATTATTTGCAATGGTCCAGGAGTGTCCTTATGTTCGTACGTGGTCGGAATAAGGAGCGTTAACTGACTGGTTCCTTGAAAGCACCAGAAGTTGGTGACCCCAAGTATGAAACTTGGTGTGCAGAAAACAACAGGGTGATGACTTGGTTAATTCATTCAATGAACCTCGAGATAAGTGAAAATTATCTACTTGCCAATATAGCCCAAGAAATTTGGGAGCTTGCTCAACATGCTTACTTTGTCAAGGAAAATACAGCAGCAATTTATCAAGCAAAGCATACTCTTTGAACCCTTACACAGGGGGAGAAATCGGTTACTTTGTATTACATAGCTCTTATGCGCCTCTGGCAGCATATGGATCTATACAAGGTACACCAATGATATTGTCAAGCCAATGCTCTCAACTAAAAGACTGTGGTCGAACGTGAGTGGTGTTATGAATTTCTCCTTGGTCTTAGTAACTCCTATGAGGATCTTTGAGGAAGAATTATGGGTATGAAACCTCTACCTTCTCTTGAAGATATATTTAATATGATTAAATATGAAGAAAGCCACAAGGTCCTGGTGCAGTTTCCTTCTTCTACCCCTTCTACTTCTCTCAACACTGGATCCTCTGCCAGGGTAGCTCATGGTTACCAAAAAGGGGATCACAAAGGGAAAAAGTCTCTCCAGTGCGATCATTGTAATAAAAATGGTCATACCGGAGAAACCCATTACAGATTCATGGCAAGCCATCTCATTTAAAGTCCAACTCCAAGGGTGATAACAAGGACAAACATAAAGGTGATAGGAAAGAATTCACTGTCAATCCTACTTATGATCATGCACTTAATACTGAGGAAATCACTATGATGAGATGCATTTTGGAGAAATACTCTCGTGATGAGATAAGTGAGAAACCTACTCCCTTGGTTACCTTGGCGCATACTAGTAAGACTTTACTAACTGCACTTGGTGCTATTTCTCACTGTAACAACATCTAGGCGGTTGATTTTGGGGCAACAGACCACATTTTGGGTCTTCAAGAATTATTTTCCGAGTTTAGCCCACATTCTGAGCACACTCATGTACAAGTGGCCAATAACACATATGCTTGAGTGATGGGAACAAGCACCATTGTTATCTCTGACTTTATTATTTTGAAGAATGTCTTATATGTTCCCAATATACAATGTAACTTGTTATCAATTACAAGTATCACACACCACTTATCTTGCCTTGCCACCTTTGACAAATCTCATATTTTTCAGGATTTAGCCTCGAGAAAATGATTGGCAATACTAAGGAACGCAATGGGATCCACTATTTCAAAGGCAAATCCACCAATAAACACCATTTAGTTTATCCAATTTCCAATTCTGTTTCTGTGTTTTCTATTATATCTCAAGAAGACATTATGGTATGGCACTCTCATTTAGGTCATCCCATTTTTTATTATATGAAAGTTTTGTTTTCCAATTCTATGAATAAAATTAAATTTTATTGTTATACTTGCCAATTACTCGCCATCCTTTTCCGGCTAACTCTTATATCCCCTCCACACCTTTTTCTCTCATACATAGTGATGTGGAAGGCCCTTCACAGATTGAAACTCACACTAAGGCTAAGTGGTTTGTTTCTTTTATTGATGACTATACTCAAGTGACATGGATTTTTCCCATGAAAGATAAATCTGAAGTTTGCACTATTTTTAAAAACTTTCATACTTTTGTTCAAACTCAATTTCAAACTCCTATCAAAATTCTCTATAGTGACAATGGAACTGAATATCTCAATGCTTGCTCTTCATAACCTTCTTGCTAATAATGAGATTCACCACCAAACTTCCTGTGTGCATTCATCTCAACATAATTGGGTAACCAAAAGGAAAAATAGACATCCACTTGAAGTCGCTAGGAACCTCTTACTTGGTAATAATGTTCCGCACAAATTTTAGGGAGATGCAGTCCTTACGACTGCATACCTCATTAACCACATGCCCTCTAAGGTTCTCAACTTTCAAACCCCTCTTGACTTGTTTTTGAAATCCTATCCTCACTCTCATTTACTTAACTCTCTTCTGAAAAAGGTCTTTGGATGCACTGCCTTTGTTTTTCAAGATGCAGGCAACAAACTCGAATCTCAGTCTATCAAATGCATCTATTTAGGATACTCATCTACTAAAAATGGGTATAAGAATTTTTCTCCTGACACTCACAAATTCTATGTCACTAAGAATGTCACGTTTGTTAAATCACTAACTTTCTTTTCCAAAATACCCATTCAAGGGGAGAATGATTGTGAATGGCTAATTTGTGCCACTAATAATGGTCATTCAAATAATAAACAGACCGGTAGCCCTAGTGTGAGGTTGTATACATCACAAGACCCTTTCTCCACTATACCTATCCCAAACTTTAAACCACCTATCCCAGATCCTGAACCACCTATTCTAAATCGTGAGCCCAATTTCCAGCCACACTTGGATGAATTAGCGACAGATCAATCTAAACAGCACACCAATAGTGAAGAACCCATTGTTGCTCCAAGGCATAGTCATGATTATCAAACTGAGGGTAATCCTAAACATCTTCAATGGCCTATCACTCTTAGAAAAGGCAAGAGAAGTTGTACTAGACACTTTATCAACAAGTATGTCTCCTATGATAAACTCAATTCTCAAAAAACTTTGTTGTTGCTATTGATAGTAAGACTATACCTAAGACTTTCGAGGAAGCCATAGTTGACCCTAAATGGAAGGCAGCTATTGATGAAGAGTTGAAAGCTCTAATAAAAATCAAAACATGGGTGATCGTGGAGTTACCTAAGGAAAAGTCAGTTGTAAGGAGTAAATGGGTTCTTCCAAAGAAATATAATCCTAATAGTAGTCTCAATAAATATAAGGCACGATTAGTTGCCAAAGGCTTTACCCAAACCTATGGCAATAATTATTAGGAAACCTTTGCAATAGTGGCAAAATTCAATACCATAAATATTCTACTTTCTCTCGTTACTAATTTAGATTGGCCATTATTTCAATTAGATGTTAGGAATGCCTTCTTAAATGGGGACTTGGAAGAGGAAGTGTACATGAAGATTCCATTAGGACTAAGAGGTCCAGTTAATGCAGGTAAAGTATGTAGATTGCACAAGTCACTATAAGGCTTAAAGCAGTCACCCAAGGCTTGATTTGAGAGGTTTACCAGTGCCATAAAGGGATTGGGCTCTGTTCAATGTCAAGCTGATCATACACTATTTGTAAGACAATTCTGGTCAGAGAACAACTGTCCTAATCGTGTATGTGGATGATATAGTACCGACAGGAAATGATGTAGAAGAAATCTTGAAACTAAAACAACATTTGGCTAAAGAATTTGAGATTAATGACCTTAGTAATCTAAGACATTTTTGGGTCCGGAAATTGCTTGCTCATCACAAGGAATTAATGTATCACAAAGAAAATACACCCTGGATTTGCTTAAGGAAACTAGAACGTTGGGAGCAAGACCTGTAGATATCCTAATGGAACTAAATTGTAATCTGGAAGTGAAACTTGATGGAAAGATAATGAATAAAGAAAGGCATCAAAAATTGGAGGGAAACTCATATATTTATCTCACACAAGGCCTGACATATCCTTTGCAGTAGGAGTTGTGAACCTGTTTGCAAGCAATCCTCAAAAGGAGCATATGAAGGCAATATACAGGATCCTTAGACATTTAAGAACCATACCTGGAAAGGGTTTATTCTTCTCAAAGGGGAATAAGAAAAGCATAGAAGTCTATATAGATGGCAATAAGAGAACTCTAGGATCAGAAAATGTAACAGACATAGAAATTTACACAATGCAAACTGGGCAAGAGCTATCTATGATAGGCATTCCACCACTGGTATTACACATTTGTGTGGGCCAACTTGGTAATTTGGAGAAGCAACAAACAACCAAACATTTCTAGAAGCTCGACAGAAGCTGAATACAAAGCATTAGCTCTTGGAATTTATGAAGGTATATGGGTCGTACAACTATTGAAGGAACTTGGTGTAGAAATGAAGGTTCCTATAAAAATGAGGTGCGATAGTATTGTCTCAAGATTGCAAATAATCCTGTTCAACATGATTGTACTAAGCATGTTGAGATTGATAGACATTTCATCAAAAAAAAAAATTGAAGCTAAAATCATAAATCTAGTATATATTCCCTCAGGAAGCCAAGTTGCAAGATGACCAAGCCTCTTGTTAGAGCCAAATTTGCAAAGATGATAAGCAAGCTAGGAATGATCAATTTCTATTTGCCAACTTGAGGGGGAGTGTGGAAAGTAGGCTTATGGGACATAGGCCCATTAGCTAAGTTAACCTAACCCTAGACTTAATCTTATTTTGTTACCACTATCTTTTCAGCTGAATATTAGGGATTAGATTTTATCTTATTTTATTTTTTCTGGTATGATATTATTATCATATCTATTTGTACTCTATAAGTATGGTTTTCATCTCTGAATAAGATTCAATTCGATTGACCATAAAAGCAATCATTTATGCCTTCTTTTAACATGTATGATATGTTCATACACACAGCCTCTTGAAATTTCAGAGTCTTGCATCCACTGCCACAACCCAGGCATATTTAGTCTTGTTCTTGCATCCCAAGGCAACAATTTAACAAGAATAAATAAGGTTATACTTCCATCAAGCAGCAATGATTCTACCAGAATGAAATGCAAGTGAATCTAATTTCAACCATATTTACATTAGTGTTTCAAATTTAAAGTTTGAGGAGGAGGATATCACATTCTAATTTCGCAGTTCACCACCAAATTTTATAGGAAAAGGAAAAGTAAAACCTTGGACTTAGCCAAGATGGCATTCCTTTTAACAGCTTCACGAATTACTTGTAAGTGGTTCACCAAATCGTTTTGTGAAGGCCTAACTTCATAACAACTGCAATTAATTCATTAAAAAAATAATAAACTGTGAATGTCTAATCGCACAAACCAATCAGCGAAGGAACAAAAATGTCCAAAATCTGAAAAATACCTCAAAACCTTAGACAAGTAGCCCCACACAGATTTCGCAGATGTTTCAGGATTTTTCTGCACATAATGTAGGAAGTGAATAGCAATTAAAATCGTCCTTATGTTATCCTCAAACCACTTCTTTGGCTTCTCAAGTTTGACCCATTGTCTACCATTCTTTGATAGCACTGATATCTCAGGTTTTATACTGGAAATATCAAACTTCCATGCAACGACTTGCATAAATACTTTCTGCAGCCCATTATCTGCAAAACCGTCAAGGAACACTTGCCCACTTTCGCCATCTGTATACTCAGATTCACTCCATTGAATTGGCAAAACAGAAAATGAAACGGGCACTTTCTCGTCATCTTCAAAATGGTAATTGGACACAGCTTGCGGAGGAACTTCGGCCTCATCATCCGAAGAAGCCATATCCCAGTTCACCCCAAAATCTCTCTGCACGCACAAACAAAACACTGAACAAGTAACCCTTTGTAAACACCAATATCTCCCTTTGAGAAGAGATCAACAAGAACGCATGTGATCCACAACCATAGCAGTCTATAATCAAATAGAAGACTTCCACGCAAATTAAGAGCGTTAAACAACGATAACTGAAAATAATAGTCAACGGCATCGCTATTGGAAATAAAAATTAAAATTGGACTATTAAAGCAGGAAAAAGTTTGTACTTCTAAAAGAAGGTTAAAGGGTATGAGGGCCGAGGAGCCAAAAACATTCAGAAACCGATAATCATCGATCCCTACACTCAAACCATTTTTAGAGGAATTGAAACGGCTGCATGAAAAGATACGTATGAAATCAGCAATCCCTCGTCTCTAAAACAATCTAACATTTTTGAAGACTAGGGACATAGAAGAGAAAAATCCAAAAGGAAATATGAGGTGGCATAGTATACTGTACCTTGTACAACCACAAAGCGAGACACCTTGACAGAACGCAGCCCCTGCAGAATGAGGGTTTTGATTCCTCTGAGTTATAGAAGTCGAAGCAGACGCGCCATGCCGAATGGGAGTAAGCTCAAACCACGGCAATGGGAAGAAGCAGCCCCGTCGGTTGCAAATTTGGTTAATTATTTAAATTTTTTTGAAGCTTGAAAAATCAAAATCAAAAATATTTATTTGAAATGAAATAAAAAAGAGGGAGAATCAAAATCAAAAATATTTATTTGAAATGGAATAAAAAAAAGATATAGCAAGTTTAAATAATGTGTCAGCACTTGCAACTAAGGCATCAAATATAACTGTTTTTGTTTATAATCATATGATTTTCTTGTCATGGCTTAGGAAAAGACTAGGTTGGAAAGAAATTGTACGTCCTAGTGCAATAAGATTTGCTACTACATTTATCACATTGCATAGCATATATATGCATAAGCATGACTTGCAAGCTTTGGTGACTGATAAGCACTCTGTGGATCACAAATTGTCAAAGACTCAAACTGAAATAATTGTTACTGCCATCATATTAGATAATGGCTTTTGGGGTGATTGCTTAGAAATTGTGAAAGTTGTGTCTCCTCTTATAAAGTTGTTGGGAATTGTGAATTCAGATGAGAAGCCTTCTTTGTCTTATGTTTATGAAGGCATGCAAAAGGCAAAAAAAGCAATCAAGGCAACATTCAACAATAAGAAAGATTATTACAAGCCTTACACAAGCATTATTCAAGCTCGATGGGATAAGCACTTTAAGACAAATCTTCATGCAGTGACATATTTGTTGAATCCTGCATTCTTATATGATGAGAATTTTGTTCACAAGAGAAGATTAATGGATACAATGCTTGATGTGTTTGAGTCAAATCAAAGTGAAGAAATTGATTATATTGTGATGATGAAGTAGTTGAGCTTGTATCGTGATCGTAAAGAATCTTTTGACAAAACTCCATGTCAAAGAGCAACCTAGAAATTAGATCCTTGTGAGTGTTCATATTTATTATTTAACATGTCCATGGTAATTCTAGTTATCATATGATTAACATCTAACTAAATGTCTTTTATTTGCAAATGAATGGTGGTCATTCTATGGAGGTTCTGTTCTAGAATTGCAAACTCTTGCAATGCGTATTCTTAGCCAAACTTCTTCTTCTGGCTGTGAAAGAAATTGGAGTTTGTTTGAACGCATCCATACCAAAAGACGAAATAGATTACAACATCAAAGATTGAATGATTTGGTTTTTACAAATTATAATCTACGATTGAAGCATAGGTAAGAATTAGAGTTTTAAATGGCAATGCTTTTGTAGTTTATAATTGAATATGAATTTTATTATCATTTATCATATTTGATTGCTTTATTTTTTTTTCAAGGAGTCAATTGAGGAAAAATAAAAGTTATGATCCCATTGACTATCAATCAATTGACAAAATTGACATTTGGGTGGCTGCAGAAGAGGAAGAGCCAGCTCCTGAGTTTAATTCTCAAGAAATTGCAAATCTTGAAAGTGCCATTCGCAATGAAACCATAGTTGCTCCATTAACCCTTGAGAGGGATTATGAAGGTTTATTAAATCTACTATCATGTCTAATACAAGTATATGAATTTCTTGAAATGCCATTCATTAGTATTAATTTTTTTATTATTGTAAGTGATGAATATATGAATGTTCTAGAGCCCCCATCTTTGCCTGATGTTGCTAGTGGTTCTGGTTTTTCTCATTCTAGTCCTAATGTCTCAATGCTCGGAGATTTGAATGAAGTTAATGATGACTTTGGTGTTGGTGAATATTAGTTACCATGGACATGTTAATCATATGATAGAAAGGTTGTAATTATAAGGATAGATATTTGAAGTGTTGTATTTGGTTGAATGATTTTATAATTAATGTCTTTTTATTTAAATTGTATTATTTTAATCATGACCGATTTGCCACCGGTTTAACCCCCGATTCAATCCTAGTTGAAGCACTAACCCGTGACCCAGTGCCATGACCGGTCTGGTTTTACATACCTTGCTTAGAGCCTTAAGATACAAAAATTTGCATTTTAGACTCAATGAAATTTGCAAACGCTCTACATAATGGCCCTTCTTGCAAATTTTCTTGTAAACAAAAAACATTGTTGCCCTTGATTAGAAAGATAGAAGCAAATTGAAGTTGGAGAAGGGTGAAGACAAATGTGAGAAGAGCATCTTAGCTTGCCGGCTCCAGGATTTAAAAGTTTCTCTGCTTTGATGGTGAGGAGTAACTTGCAAAGTGGGTAAATTTCAAAATGTATCCATCTTAACTAGCATTTCAATTCAAAAATTTTCTTTCAAGTTTTGATTAAGGTTGTTATCTACCATTTGTGTGCTAAAATAGGAAAAAGCTAAGAGTTAGATGACAAAGCTTGGTAAGCTAAGTAACTATAGTGTGCATAAGGTAAATAGTTGTTTAGCTAAATGATCAGTTTAAATGGCATCATTATATTGCATGTCAATTGCTGGTGAAATAGCAATAAAGATTTAGTCTTTACTCATTTAATATGTAGTAGTTGCATTTAATGGGGTTTTACATGGGATATTAGAGTGCGCATGAGACAAACTTTTTATGTACAAACTACACTGTGGTCTTGTCAAAATTGAAATTTTATTCGTAATTTTCTATGCAGATATAAGTTTAGGGTTGCGGAACTGTGTAACTTGGTTGTGGAAGTTTTAAAATATATTAGTTGTTGTACAATAATGATAGTTGACGTGTTCACATTAGACTCTGACATGTGAATTGAATAAAACATGACGATCAATATGAAGAAAATCTATTGCAAAAAAATGTTGGAGTATGTGTTATGCAAACATAAATTTAAGTTGTTTATAGTAAATGTTAAGTTGTGTAAAATAAAAATTGAGTTCCTGTATGTGAATATTTACTTAAATTAATTTGTTTATTATAGGTTAATACAAGAAATGGCAAGTAGTTCTAAAAAGAAATGTTTTGTTTTCTTCTATTATGATGGTCAATTTGTGAGCAATGTTGACAGTAGTATGAAGCATGAGGGTGGAAATGTAATTGCAAAAACCATAATAGAAGGATTGAGTATGCAGAGCAAAGATCATCTATATCATTAAAAGTTTGTCATGGTAATAATGAAAGTGACAAAGTTTATTGTTGAGATTGATTCAACTATGTTGATAGATCTTATTGATGATGTTAAAGTAGAACAATTGTTTAAGTATAATGAAAGAATTACTCATGTGTATATTGGTAGATGGGTTGCACTTGTAGATGATCCGTAAAGTAAGTGTTGACAATTATGTCAATTGAGTAATTCTTCACTCGTCCAAGATAATGAAAATGCCTTGTCAAAAATGCTGGATTATGTGTTATGCAAACGTGAATATTTACTTCTTTATATTGAATGTTTAGTCATGTAAAATAGAAGTTATTAATGTAAAGCTTTAACGATATGGAAATATTTGTAAATGCAGGATAAACCAATTTTTACCATTTTCATATGGAAGTTAGCTATCTTTATAGCATTAGGATATTGATTTGGAAGGCTTTAGCTTACCCAACTTTAGAGGAAGCATTCCAATGGCCACTATATAAGATAATTTAGCCATCCAATGCATTCCTACCCCTATTTCAAAGACGAATGCTAGTAAGTGAAAGGAATTGTTTTGTTAGAATAGGATAGACTTTTGCTCATGCTATGGCATTTAGGGATACATTTTACAAGTATGCCTAATACACAAGTTTGGATGAAAATTTCTAAAGAACAAGTCAAGTAAAGTTATTATGAAGTGTGTAGTTGAGGGATGTTCATGGTACATTGGAGCATACAAGTTGGATGGAAAAGCTAATAGTTTCTTAAGTGTAAGAACTTTCAAGAATGAACATATTCATTTTACACAAGACAATCTTGATGTTGCTCATAATACCAAATCAACACTAACATCATCCATAATAATTGATGAGTTGAGGGCATCCATAGACAAGTCTCCTAATGATATTAGACAAGACATGTACAAAGAGTATGGTTTGAAACGCAGTTATTGTGAAGTACAAGTATATAAGGGAAAAGAGAAAGCTTTAGCTCAAATACATAGTCATCTAAATGAGTCCCACTCTTGTGGTCCCATTTGTAAGGTACATCTAGAAGGTCTATTTGATCCAATTTATAAGTTACGGTGTGGCTTTTTAGATAATATTTGAAAAGTATTTTCAAAATTACCCTTTTTGAGAGAAAAAAGTAATATAACTCAACTTTTGAATTTGTTATATAAGGGTATATTTGAATTTTTACACATGTTTATTCTTTTACTTTTTGCATTAGTATTGATAGGATTGGTACAGATAACTTATAAGAGGACTAGAGAAGTATATGTTAATTCCCTGGTGTGTGTCAAAAGTTATTGAAAGTAATCCAACCATAATTGCAAAATGGATAGCTGGGCCATGCATTAGATTTAATGTTTGTTCGTTGTATATAGATATAGCATAAAATGTTTCATGGAAGGTTCTAATTATACTTTATATAGATTATTGTCACTTGGGTATACCATATAAAAGAAACTATCAATATGTGTATACGATGTAGATAATGAAATGTTTCTTGTGGCATATGGGCACTTGAAGAGTGGTTATGGTTTCTCCAAAATATTAAGGAAATAATAGAATCGTGAGAATTAACAATAGTTTTTGTAAGTCCTAGATTTTAATCCTTGGATTAACTAAGCTTAATTATGTAAATTAGTGAGTGATGTGGTGTGTGGCTAAGGCGGTCTAATGATCATATTTTTTGTATTTCAACCCTAATTATGGGTCTAGTGTGAAGTTAGGCCAACTGGACATTGGAAAGAGAAGAAATAAAAGGGAAGTATTAGTAGGCCACATACCGTAGCATAGAGTTCATCTGTTATGACGCACATCCACAATTGATGCAAGAAGGGACCTCTCTATGCCAATGCGTTGTGGTGCATTCAACGTCCGCCATGACACATGACCATTTTCTACAAACTATAACTCACAAACTAATGTGAAAAGTAAAAGAGAAGAAAAGGAAAACGAGGAGCTCATTTTTTATTTGCTAGGGCATGATTAGGGGAGGATTGGAGACAGTTTTGAAA